CAAGTTATTGATATCTAGTATTTTTAGTATTCTCCGTAAGTTTATCATGTTCAGTGGAATTTTTTCCTTCAACAATAATATTATCAAGATAAGTACATGTTCCTATAACGTTGTTTAAATAATGAATCGAAAGCTCTTTGAAATATTGAAATATGGCAAGAGAAGACGAGACTCCGAATGGTAATTATATTGATATAGGCCAATGGATTAATCATGGCCAACTTTTATTCGTCAACTAATTCGAGCTGTATATATGCATCCTTCAGATCTAATGTAAAGAATATCTTGTTTCTGGTTAAAAATGTTTAGTATTGTAGGTAGTTGGTACTTATCGGTTATAAGATATTCATTTATGTATTTCTGAAATTTCAACAAATTCCAATGGTTCCATCTTTCTTTTTGATAGATACTACAGGTAAAGCGATATTAGAATAGCGTATTTTGCTGATAATTACTTGTTGCATTAATCGATATATCGCCTAATATTAGTTTTTATAAGCATATAAAATTTGTCGGGAACTGGGAAAATTCTTCTTTAATGTGCGAGTTCTCAATTGTAAATTATCTTTTTCTGGATTTTGAACTATAATATAGAGTCCTAAAATATTTTTACCAATTCGTGATATATGGAAAATTTGTGGTTGGATTGTATTAGCTACTTCAGTAACTAATACGGTTTTTCCTAAAATCTCTGTAGAATTTATAACACTTTAGACGAAAAGAGGATGGTGATATAACGGTTTTACATATTTGTAAGTGTCCCAATTGATAATTAACACTGCAGCTCTCGTATTATTTAAGAAATCAAAGGATTGCGATTGAATTATCAATTTTTTTTATAAAATCTTTGGAATAATTTACTATCCATTGTTCATTGCAGAATTGCTGAAATTCGTGTGGATCGGTCCTACTTGTCTTATCATCTTCCGAACTAGTGTTGTTAAACGGCTCGATTTAAGCCGATTTTTAAAAACGGATAACTCAATATTTTAGCCAAAAAAACATTTCCTATGCCCTAAGATTTCGCTAATAGATGTCTAAATTTTTGTTCCTTCTACAAACAAAATCTTCAGATCTTGCGAATATTATTCTCGATGAAATATTGAGTTAGCCGTTTTTAAAAATCGGCTCAAAACGAGCTGTTTAACAACACTATTCCGAACTATCATGAATTGACGATAATATTTTTATTTATGCATACCTTAGCAATGTGTCTGACTATATTAAAGTTGTAACATGTAGCAGATTTGAAAGGGCATCGATTATGAAGATGCGTTCCTTCACAACATATACAAACTGCAAAAGGCTTTTGTGCACCGATCTTTAATGTCGGCTTATTGTTATTATTAACTCTAATGAATTGACAGATTTCTTTCAGTTCGATATGGAGTGCAGTCTCATTACTTCCATTCTCAAACTTTCCATCCCAGTAGACATTTATAACGCTTTACGGAATGTATGGCTTAGTAGTTGCACAGTTATCATACATTATTGAATAGGTTTTGTGGCTTAAGCCAGTTAGAAATTAACGTTTTTGTAACTCCTCTGTAATTTTTACGGTTATACAGAAATTTTTAAACCTAGATAAATAAGTTTCCAAATCTTTTCTCCCTCCTGTAATGCTATATAAACATTTGTATTTATCTCCATTTTTTAACTCACAGTGCTAATTTGTTGTGTTAAGACTGAGAAATAAAAAATTTGAATCAGTTATATTTTAAAATGAAACATAGACTTTATTTTTAAATACTAGTGCTGTAAACATTTCTAAAAAATCGAAAGCGTTCAACGTTCATTAACAAAAATTGAACGCGTTCACGTTCAAGTTCATTTTCAAAAAAAAAGAACGCGTTCACGAACCGTTCAAATTTTTATGATAAATTTTTATTAAAATTTAATTTAATGTAAATAAACTTATATTTTTTAATACAATATATTAGCCATGTTAAAAAATAATATAGTTTTATTTTGATAATGTAATTAAAAATAAAATATAATATAGCGAATAAAAAGATATTTTGATTTATAAAAATTTTTCTTATTAAATTTTAATAACAATTATTTTCAAAATATTTATCTGATAGACAGGAACACTTGGCAGTTAATACGGCATTAGCCTAAAAATACGCTCTACAGTGGCAGATGAGGGGATTACGTATTATACTTAATAAACAGCTCTTTTAACGTGGAGAATTAATTAAAAACATATTTTGTTATTTGCAAAAAATTGAGATAAGTTATCCTCCTCCAATCCATTCTCTACTTCCTCGACAAAAAAAAAATATCTCGAAATTAACAGTTCTCTAGGGTTTTCAAAGCATTTTTTTCAACGCTATTAGTTTATTATTAATAGGTTGGTTCTGTGAAAGTTTTATCCATGGCCATTTAAGTTTGAATGCTGGATGTATAATTGCAGAAAGAACATATTGATCTTTATATATATGTTCAAATCTTTAAAAAAATAAAATATATGTAATTAATTGAGAGTAATAGGTTTAATACCTTTTATTAATCCCATTTAATATGGCGTCTATCAATGGTTGACCATATTTGCGGTCACTAATTTTTTTTTAATTTTAAAATAACTATCGTTATTGTTGGGGTCAAATATCCTAAATGCATTATTTCTTCAAATTTAATGATTTTATTTAGTTATATTATATTATATAAAATAAAATAATAAATAATACAATCAAGTGTCGTTTTAAATTGGAACATGAAGATTTTGACAATATAATACTTTTTGGCCACATTTTACATTTGGTAAGCATTGAATTAGTTCCATCAATATAGAGTGTTACTGTAAAACATTTATCATATTTGGCCATGGTAATGATAATTCATCTGATTTTTTTCAGAATCAGATGATGAGGATTAAATAATAATATCCATGCATATGCTAATCTATTAAATTAAAATATAAACAATAATATTCAAATTAATAAACTATGTGTTAAAAAAATTGAAATGTGAAAAGGAAATACACAGCTAATTAAAAAATATAAATAATACTTTTTTTTCAAAAATATTATCAAATAAATAAAAATAAAAAGTATTTTTAAAATTTAACGAACGTTAAATTCGAACGCGTTCGTCATAAAAAAGGAACGCGTTCGTTTACAACACTATTAAATACTGGTTCTTTTATAGTCAAAACTTAATATGTTAATTTCTTATATAAAGTGATAAAAAGTGTAATTAAATTATAAAATAAAAACTTAAACAATGTTAAGATAATATTTTAGAAATATGATAAAAAAAACTATTCAAATTATAAGTTGTATGTACAATAATATAACTTGACACGTTAATATAATATAATAAATATTATATTCAAATAACGATAAGTTTTCAAATATAACAGTAAGTTCTTCGCATTTTGTGTTAGCTAGGCCTGGAGTTCAAGACAAATAATTGTGCTATTTTGATGATTATCAAAAAATGAAGGCTAAATATAAGGAAATTGTACCCAGGATAAGGAGAAAAATCTATATTTAATGATGCTTTTAAAGGTGGTCTTGATCATATAGACATATATAAAATTTTTGGTAAGGAAAAAAAAATTGTAAAGGAGGAGACGCAGAAGTAAGAACTATCATCTCTATAATTTTCATCAGAAGCCGGATATTGCATAAATCTTTTCTATGGGTCATCCAAGGTGGGTAAGGTCCTATCTAGTATTTTTGGTAAGTGAGCTGTCATATCAAGTGAAATACAGAATGGAAGAATAGTGTATATTTGATTAAGTTTAGTAATAGTTTAATGATAGTTAATATAAAATTTAGGATATTTTTTTATATACTTTATATTCTTAATTTATATTTTAAGTGACACAAGCTAGAAATGGTTCCAAAGTTCAAAAAAACTTGTTTGGGAAATTTAAAATAGATTAATTAAATGATTAATAAAGGATTTTGGTGTTTAAAACAAATTTTTAGGGATATTATAAAATTGTTATTTAACATTTTGATTAATTAATATGGTTAATTTTTTTTTACATAATTGTGATTTATTAATATTGTCAATTTTTTAAAAAATAATTGTGATTTAAAATTGTCATTTATTTTTTTCGAAATCATAATAAAATTTTGGGTTTAACATTAAATCAATTGTCTACTTACTTGATTTATTTTTAAGTTATAATTGAAAAAATTTATTAAATAAAATAGTATTCTCAGAAAACTTATTTTTATACAAGTGAAAAAGTTGATTTAGAACAAAAAATTAACTCTATCTTTATTAATTTAGGTAATTCAAAAATAGCATTATAAAATATAGTTTTCTATACAGACATAAATATTATTTTAAGTTTTGATAATTTAATTAATTAGATTCCAAAAATAAATTTTATTTGGTTAAAATATTTCAGTAAAATCGCCCGAGTGACCTAGTGGGTTTATGATATGCTTGGAAGCCGAAGGTACCAAGTTCAATCCTGATAAGGAACTGTAAAAATTTCTGGTTTTTCTTCAATGACTGATGTGTAAAGACATATAAAATAAATTACTGAGCTTAGAAATGGCACGGTGCTAGGATACTTGTCCAAAAAACCAAATGAAAAATACAAAAAAAAATATAAATATGAAAGCTAGGGCGTTCCCTCCAAGCGACGCGCAGGGTGTAGACCTCTAAAGATTTAAAAATGTCTCTAAAACCCTGAGCAGAATTGTAATTATCTTTATTTATAGGGTGAATTGAGTGGGAAAATATATTTTTGGGATAGGGTTTGTAAATATATTTTTTTTACTATTTCTTTTATGAAAATTAATTTCATAAGATTGAATGGAAACGAAAGTTAAGACCTAATAATAAAAACTCTGAAAATATAATAAATGGCGGGTTAAATATTTTTATTTCTAGATTAAATAGGCGGTAAACTCTTATTCTTTTTAAAAAAAATGATTCTTTACAATCCTATACACTCTTTATTGAACGGATGGTCAGTCTAGGTTAATATTAATGTCGTAGCCCAAATATACATTTAAAAAAAACAATTATTCTGTTAAATTTTATTTCCCAAATTTCGCTGGTTTAAAGACATGTATTATTGTGCAACAAATCTGAATCAGTTTTGAAAATAGAAAAAAATGTATTATACAAGGAATCAAAATTGTTAAAAATCATATTTTGAGTTGAAGGAAATGCGGCTATTTCCGTTCGATTGATGTCTGGATTTCCGACAAATACGAATGTGTTTAAATCTAATAATATTTTTGTTTAAAAACGATATTTTCATTTTGAATTAAAATATTATGCCATATATCAATTTTGTATGATCAAATAGAATGGAGGTTTGACATTAAAATAACAATTTTTAAAGATTTTTATTATATACTTCTTTCTCCTAGTTTTTGTGCTTTCTGAAGAAGAAGTGGGTCATTCCAACGTTCTCTATCACTAAAAATTATCAAAATTTTATAGGTATCTCGATTGCCGAACGCAATTAAAGCTTCTTCCATGGCGTTTCTTAAATCACCGTCCGATCTGTTTTTTTGTGCTAAAGCTTAAATGTTAGAGAAAGATCAAATATGATAACACAAACTAATTATATTTTTTTATTTTTGATCATTTGTTAAATTTTTTTGGTTCATTATATTGTTACATTTTGTTACGAGTTACTAAATCTCTCTACATATTTACAATATTAAATTGTAGCCCGACAAAAAAATTTTCGGACCGAGCCAGAAAAATTGTGCAAAATTTATTTTGGCCGAGTGGAAATTTTTAAAATGTTTTTAAAGATAATAATTAGGCAAATTTATGTTGTTTTCTTTCATAAAGATTTATTACGGGCTGGGCCGTAAAACTCGGCAAATTCTACAGGCCCGTTAGCGTCGGGACTTCCTTTGCCTACCTCTAGCATACAGTACTAGGTTTGGATTCCATTCTCATTCAGTCAGTTTAAAAATAATATATATTTTGTATAATTATGAATTTTTTAAAGAAAGTGTTGTTGTTATATAATTAATGAAAATGGATAGGTTAATGGACCTTAATTATATATCCGGATTGATTAAGTTCAAAATATCCTTCTGGCCGAAATTTGAATAAATTCAACGATTACATAAGGTTGATATTAACCGTATTATTTTTAAACATAAATTATTTACATGATTAAATAGGAGAATGGGATGGGGGGGGGGGGGGTTAATTAAAAATGTTTAAATATTAGCACCTTCTTTCCTGATCTTGCAAAAATATTTCATAAATTGAGTATAGTTATTGATCCCGGATATCTCCATTTGTCTAGAATTATTTGAACGAATATTATCTTGAATTAAACCGATCCTTATAAACTTTTCCTTGGATGGTATGGATTTAAAGATATGGGCTACCACAAACTTTATAATAAATAGGTATATAACAATTAAAATTAAGAAAACAAATATAAATATATTATATATGTCGTTATGAGATTTGGGATCAATGATGTATAATATATACTACTAGATAGGCGATTTATTTATGTAGCGACATTTTGTGGTTTGTAAGTCGATTAAATGATATAAATGATGTTTATATAGGTTATTGGGAGCCATTTTTAAATTTGGAAAATCTGATTTGAACCGGAAATGTATTCCAGCATACGTAGAGTAATTACCTATATATTTCAGACAATTTTTATCATTAATTTTTGTGTATTAATTAATATAAATAAAAAATGAATATAAGTTAAGGGTAGTTCAAATGTTGATAAAATTGTCTGAAACTAAAAATTATGTTATAATCTATAAGTGCTGGAATACATTTACGGTCAAGTGTAATTTTTTAAATTCCCAATATGATATATACACAATATAAAAATCTAGTTCAATATAATGTTTTTAAAATTTCGATTTAACCGATTTTTTTAAAAAAATCTAGACAAATAATTATTTTCTAAGCCTCAAAATTTTGACGATAGAAGCCAGAAAGGTTTAATCCTCTTCTAGCGAAACTTTGAAGCTTAGATAATATTTTAGTCAACTTGATTTCGATTTTTTTATAAAACGACTAATTTATCAATATAAATCTATCAAAAAGGTTTTTGGACCCATCTCTAAAATGAACGAAATTTAGCATGACTATTCTGTAAATCAAAATTTTAGAGCTCTAGCTTAATCAGGTCCAAAGATGTACGTCTTCAAAGTCGAAATTCGTATTATTTTTAAAAATAATTAAGAGAGAGTTAAAATTTTATATCATTAATAGCCCCTAAAATTCTACAAGAAAATAACAAATTTTTTTTTTATCTTTCACCTTTTCTGGTGGTAAGCTCCTTCACTTATTTATTATATTAATAATCATGCTATCTATTTTTATCTTTGTATTTCTGATCGATTTCATTTGAATCGATCACCGATGTATCATTTTCAAGAGTATCTTGATCTCCCACCGGTGTATCAAATCAGTATCGACCAGTTATCCTACCTGAGTATTCCCAACACGTATCAAATCGACAGATATTCCATTCCTGATCTCCCAATATATTTGTATTTCTGATCGATTTCTTTTGTATCGATCACCGGTGTATCACGAGGCCAAAGTATCTAGATCTCCCCCACCGGTGCATCAAATCAATATCGACCAGATCCCATCTGAGTATTCCACTGAAAATCGACAGATATCCCAATTCTGATCTCTCCCACTGGTATCAATACCTATGGATCTCCCACCGGAGTATCGTTATCAAGTCCATTGTAATTGGTAAACATTAAGCTTGAACGGCCGCCGAGGTCACCATCATCCCAGCATCCTAGCGCTGGCCAAGAAATCGTTATCATCTGACACACGAGTTCAGCTGGTCATCTTTCTTGGTTTATTAAACAAGTATCCTAGCACCCGGCTGTCCAAACCTGTCGGTGACCGGGGTGGCACTCAACTCAGAAATTTATCATATCATATGTCTAAAGTCATACACCATCGAAGAAAAACCCGAAAATTTTTAGCTCCTTACCAGAATTGAACCTGGGACCTTCGGTTTACAAAACTTCATCACACACCACTGCACCACCCCGGCGATTAGAAAATATCAAAAATAAGTTTAAAAATTTTAAGTGATTTTTTATTTCCGGTATAATAAAATATTATTGTTGAGAAGGGATTTTTTTGGGTGTTATAATATTCGCTAGAATGGTTATTACCTAAAAATTTAACTGTTTAATCAAAAAAAAAAATTTAGATTTTATAATTTTTTATAAATAAACAAATGTGAAAAATCATTATAATATAATATTAAAAAATCCATTGAGTAACCAATACGATGTCATGGGGCGTGATGTAAGCAAGCAGCCCATACAGATATGAATTAGAGATCTGCAAAGTTAGGCCCGGCCCGTACCCGGCCCGAGGCCTAATTTTATTTAAAATAATCGGGTTCGGGCCGGGCCTAATATTTTTAAAAAAAATTTGGGCCGGGTCGGGTCGGTCTTTGGACATTTTTTTAAATATATCTAAATTTATCAATTTTATATTGAATTTTTTATGTAAAATAAAAATATTTATTTTATTTATTGAAACTAAACGACATATAACATATGTCCTTTATTTTGAGTAATTATAAAAATTAATTTCTATATTTAAATAAATTCGGGCCGGGCCGATAAATTTTTTATAAAAAAATTTTAAATTCGGGCCGGGCCGGCAAAACTTTTTTAAAAAAATTTCGGGCCAGGCCGAGCTTGAAAAATAAGCCCGATGCAGATCACTAATATGAATATCACTAGGAAGCTGTAATGTAAAATAAACTATTTTAAAATTTTATATACAAAACTATTATAAAAAATATCTCTTATCTTTATCATATTCTATTTTACGCTTGTTAATAGAATTTCATGAGAAATTTATAGGTATATTCTTTCGTTGTTGTGAATCTTTTATCCTTATTATCTGATGTCACTCGTTGGGTAAAAGAAGGATGTGATGGCCCATGGGGATGTAAAATAAAATATATATCTCCTTAGTAATTTCATTCTTTATAGTGTGTGGCTAACCACCAAAATTGTCATAAATACATAGTTAGAAAAAAGACCGGTCCGGATCCTGATCCTAAATAAAAAGACCCATCGGATGTATTTATAACGATTTTTAGTGTTTAATCAAAGTAATAAAAAAGAATGAAATTAATGAGGGATATATATTTCATTTTACATTCCCATGGACCACCATTCTTCTTTTACCCCACAATTGAAGAAAAGAGATGGCTGCCCATTCAAAAAGATTTGGTAAATTTAATTCCATATTTTTTAATTCATTTGTAAATAAAATTATTTAACTTGTAAAAATTGATTATAATATATATTTATATGTTATTGTGACAATATTTTGCAACTCATTGAATTTAATTTGCAAATAAATTCAAAAATTTGGAAATATTTTCCAATAAATCTATACAACACTGTAATAACGATTGTAGATCCCATAACATAGACAGGACATACTTATTTGACAATATAGCGTCCTAATAATAATACTATCTGTATGGACTTCTGCTTACATATCGCCCCAAGACATCATATTGGTTATACTCAATGGATTTTTTTTATTTTAATTCCAATAATATACATATTTTAATTAAACATAATTTTTAAATATAGCGCCATTTATATTATATTTTTTATTTATATAAATAATAAAAATTTAAATAAAACTTAAAAAACAAAAAATGGCTATGGAAATTTTGGTTAAAAAGTTAAATATGAAGGTAATAAACATTCATAGCGAATATCAAACACCCTAAAAATCCCTTTTCACCAATGTTAATTTTTTATTTTTACAGGAAATAAGAAGGGAATTTTTTAATTTTTTATAAAATATTTTCCAATGTATAATTTTAAGGACTATAAAATGAATATAATTTGTAACTCTATCTTAATTATTTTTAAAAGTTATAAGATTTAATGAAACTGATAAATTTCGACTTTGAAGGCGTATATCCATGAATCGGTTCAACTCGTTATAAAATTTTGATATTATTAAATATTTATAACATAAATAACTAACATAACAAGTTTCATTCATTTTTAAGATGGTCGTCCGAAAAACTGGTTTATTTGTAAGAATGATCCCACTACTTTCAAATCATCACTGGACTACAAAAGATCTGTTCTTTTAGGTATAAACACTACGTTTTTAAAAATTAAAATTATTTAAGAATTTATCAAAACTTTTTTATTTTTTCTCCAAATAAGATAAATAACAATATTTAAATAACTTCAATACAATCTAACGATGCTTCGTAGTTAGCTTCCATCTCAATGTTTCCCGATTTAATATCTATTACTATAATTGTCTCAATGATCCGATGACTGATATTTTTCAAGAATCTACCAAATTTATCGATGCCTATTATAAAGATAGTATAATTAGAAGAGACCTGCAGGCCCGGCCCTAAGCAGGGGTATATAAGCCTAACGGTATTTTAATTTTTTGAAATATATCCGGGCCTAAAAATTTTTGTTAAAAAATACCCAGGCTATGCCGAATATTTTAAAACCAAATATTTTAAATTGCCATTAATAACTATAAAAATTAAAAATAAATATAATATTTTTAAAAAAATTCGAGCAGGGCCTGAAGATATATAACCTCGCCGGACCGAGCTGAAAATTTTTTTAATAAAAAATTTTAGTCGGGCCGTGCCGTGCCAATTATATTTTTACAGGCCTCTAATAATTAGTACATTTCACATAATGAAAGAAAATAAGAAATATCTACTTTCGAGGTCTGTTTTTTCGACCGGGGTTGAATTGAAGAATTGAATGGCGATTATAAATAAATATATAATCGTTGCGAAACAATGTAATTCTAATATTTATTAATATATAAGTGATATATTTTAACTTTTATTGTGTATATATAGATATATGCGCCAACGCATTTATTTCTCAACTTTAAATCATTTTTTGAACTTTTAAATTTTAAAATTTTTTACCGAAAATGTATTTCAACGTGTTTAGAATGTCTACCTTATTAATTCAAGATAATTTTGCATAACTCGCAAGTAGGGCTATTTATTTTTAATTATGCATCTAATATTCGATTTGTTTCAGATAATTTGAATGAGGTAAACATAAACAGCTTGTGAAAAGCTTTTATTTGCTTGTTATAAATCTCATATCTTATAAAGAAGAAAAAAATAGGAAAAACTTTTTGCCTTAAGAATTGGGTTGGCATTATAAATTAAATTAATATGCATTTTAACTTCGTAATAACTTGATCGCAAATGTTGTATTATCAGATAATTTTAATAATTTTTTCGCTTTTTAAAATTAGGTTTGGACATCAATTAGTGAAATCTTAAGATTTCAGCAAAAATTTTCTGGCTAAAATTAAGTTAGCCTTTTTTAAAAATCGGCTCAAATCGAGGTGTTTAATAACACTAGTTCTAAGTTTCAATTTTCTACTCTATAAGGGTCAAATTATAAATAAATTCATTATTTTTTATCGTTAAGCAAAGCCATTATCTGATGATTCATAAAGTTAACCTAACAGTACTATAGCTGGAGATTCTGAGTAAAGACCCACACTTTATGAAGACTCTTTATATCATATATAAAACTGAGAATTATGAAAATAAGTTTTTGGCCTAAAAATATTATCTAAGCCTCAGGGCTTTCTCCGAAGAGACCTCAGCCCTAGAATAAGCGTGGAAGAGCCTTAGGGTTTAAATTTTTTCGATATATGACTGTATATAACCGATTACTCAACTAGACCCTTCAATACCAGTTCAAAATTACATCTTAATTATTCGCCATGTTAGAGCATATCTTTCTATTAAATTACGTTTTAATAAAAATTAGTCAGTAAGTAAAGGTTATAATCATAATAAATTTTTTATAGATTCATTAAAATTATCGGAAAATTGATTTTAAAAAAACAATTATAATTTAATTATATTATGATTAAAAAGTAATCTAATTAGAATATCAAAATGTCTACATAATATATTAATAATTTACTCATGTTCACGAATAATGTTGAAATATTTTTGAAAGTATAATTATCTAAAATAATAATTCAAAAAAAGCAAACAGCTGCTAGTTTTTTATTTGTCTATTTTTATTTTAATTATAATATTTCGATGCGTTGTCTACTAAAATTTATGATTTAATTCCTGTAAAAACAATGATTTTATTTTTAAATCGCCACATTCTTAAATTATTATTTATTATATTAATATTAATTAACTATAGATGAGTTTTTCCTGTATATTATTTTACTGGAGGTCTTTAGGCTATTTATTGTGAGACTTTGGAAAATTATTTTTTTAAAAAATAATTTAAGATTTTCACTTACTTTTTTGTTTATAAAAATGCTTTTTCCCAAAAATTTTGAACCATAGTCATTATTTTAAAAATTTATTTACTTTTAAAAATAGTTTTTCATCCAAATTCTTCTTTATAGTGATATAATGTAAACATTTTTAAAGGAAGATGGGTTTATAGGGGGAAAATTTTTATTAGCTTATAATATTTTTTATAAAAACAGGAAAATTTGCGATGGCGTGGGAAAAAGAGAGGGGGGGGGTCTGGTTGTTCCTGTGCTGAATATTTCTTAAATTCAAAATTTATAACATATAATAGTAGTGACCGGGAGGGGGTTTTTTTAGGAAATTTTTATTAGCCTAAAATAATATAAACGAGAATACGTAAATTTCTTATGGGTAGTAAAATTTCCCCACATGGCTAAGCTATTATCAAGTTTATTAACCCTTTTCACATAGAAGAAGGACAATACAGTGTCTATATGAGCCAGAAGGGAAGGGGTCAGTTTGTTCTTTTGTTTAAGATTGATAGTGGATAGTGATTTAAGGGGAGTGTGGTAAATATATTAGAGTGTTATCAATTAAATTATTAAATAAAATAGGGTGAAAATATGCCGTAAAAATTTATTTAATCTTTAGACCTATTAATACAATTTTATTATTTATTAGTGAAGAAAAGAACATACGAACATAATAAGAATTAATATCATAAATATTTAATAAAATATTTGATGATGAGTTAATTATGATAATCAGGCATTTTAATGTTAGTTTTCGCTCATTCAAGTGTATATAGGGAAGGGAGACTAATAATTTTAATGGGAGTTGAAATATTAATTTTCAAAAGAGTATTTAAAATAGATTAAATTAAATCTTTATTTTTAATTAGGTGTTTTATTGTATGTATAGATATTATTGAAATAATTAATCAATTTTTCAAATATTTACCATTAAGCCTTTGTCGTTTCTGTGTATTTAACATTGTGTCAAAACTAAATATTCTTTAAACTTGCGCTGATGCAGGTATTACAGTATTATATTTTAAAAAAATTCCTTAATGGAAGGATAATATTTAAGCATTTCTAATATATTACGAAGATCTTTAATATAATTTAAAACCTCCAGCTAAATGTTATTTGTATTATTAAACTCAGCAATATTTGTTTCACCAAAAGAAAAATAATCATCATTTTCTTTATTAGATGTTAAATCTATTCGTGTAATAGTTTGAACTTGATTATAACTACATTTAGGACTTCTTTTAATATTATATTTTGAAAGTCCTTTTTTAAATCCAACTCAATCCATAAGTTTTTAAAATATGGATGTGTTAACTCATTATCACACAATGTTTGTAATCTTTCAAAAATTTAACTTATTACATATAGATCAAAAAAAATTTTTTTAATTTTACCATAATGAGGTATGTCACATAAGTTAAAACATGTGAAAAAGGATATAATTTTTATTGCAAATGTTGAATTAAAGAGAAAAATAAAAAATGTTTATTTATTTTCAAGAAATGTTGAGCAGATTATTATTCTTTTGTATATTTTTATTGGAAAAATAATATTTTATTCAGTGTGTGATTGTTTATGAAATGAGTCGGAGATTTTATGAAATGAGTTAATGTATTATTGATTGTAAAATGAAAAATATATTATGGATTATTATTATTATACTATTGGATTTTATTAGATGAAAAATAAAGTGTAGTTCTAGTAGTTTAAAATTTATCGTATCAGAGTTAAAAAAAATTTTATTTTAAATAATTATCTTTATTAAATTCCTAATATATAAAATGATACACAAATATTCTTAAAAAAATATAAAAAACGGAGGGGAGTCTACAAGCTCCCAAAAAACATGAATAATTAGATTTTAAAATGCTAATTTGTATATTTTGTTTTAAAAATAAAATTCTTTGGATTTTGATGTAAGGGCTCTTATTTTGCCGCCTATATTTTTTAAGATTTTAAAGTTCCGCATGACATAAGTCCAAGGTAAAAGATAACGATTTGTAAAAAAATAAAATTTGTTAATTTCGAATATTTAATTTTTTCAGCTATATCAACCGGGTCAGAATTTAAATTTTGTAGAAAGGAAGAGAAGCACGTGTCCCAAATTAAATGAAATAAAACAAAGCAATTTTAATTTGCGTTGATGCCTCTAAATCGGGATAGGATTTTAATGAATCATTAAAATTATTTTTCTGCCCTACAGCATAAAAACCGCAAAGAATGCTGAATTTGAATCCCCAATTATGCTGGCTATATGAGACGATATATTGAAAGGTATAATTTTTTTTTAAAGAATTGTATACTTCAAACTATAATAATTATGGCTATCCTCGAGAATATATAATCAGATGAAAAATTATAAAATGAGGTAATAATATTTGTAACTAATTAGTTACATACATATGAATAAATTCGAATTTGAAAAATTGAAATAAATTTTTTCTGAATAATAATATTAATGCTTGGTATTAAAAAAAATGCAATTAAAAATTACAAAAATTGTCAGTTTTTAAGGGAGCATCTGATATTAAATACTAGCGATTGAAAAATATTTAAGAATCTTTATTTAAATAAATGATTTTAATATGAAAGTAATGCTACAAATGTCCCCGTCAAAATAATTTACATCTTAAGTTATGTTAAATAACACTGTGATTAATTAGTATTCAGTAATAAAGAATTAATGATATCGAAAAAGCCTCATCATAAAAATTTACCCAAATCTTTTAACCATGCCATCTTGGACAGCTTTTAATAAAAATAGACAATATTGCAAAACTTGAATTTTTAAGTTTACCTAAGTTCCTTTTAACTAAATAGTATGCGAATTCTCTATAAAATGTACCACTCTACCCTTGAAGTTTGTCTAAGGCAATTGCTACATGTGTTAAAACCTTATAATATTTTTCAATGTGAATCTTCCATTATTCTTTGAGTTTGATATGCAGAAAGACTTGTCCCAATTAAAAATAAAGTAAGGCAATTAAGATAGGTGACGTGATATGCACCTCAACCATAAGATATATTCCTATGTATGCACTCTCCTCCTTGTTAACATTGGTTATTGGGGTTGGAGACAATGCTGATGTTGGATAATATAATTTTGTTTATTGCATCCAAAGATAAACATTGAAAAAAAACTTTAAAAGAAAATATGTATTACCATCATTGAATTTCATTCTAATACTTCCTCAAAATAATTGTCAAGACGATTTAATTTTACGCCATAATTCAGTAAATGACTTTGGATGTATTATGCCTTATGCGTATCAGTAGCAATTAGTTTATCAGAAATCTCATGCAATATTTTATCAAATGAATGTTTCGCATTCTTTTACATGCCAATGCTCTTAATTGTCTTTCAAGGGTTTCTCGTATTATCCTTAAAAATAATAAAAAATAATTTAAAAAATAAAATATTATCTAGTGAACTGTTATTTCAATAAAACTACGAGTTTTTGTAGACCACAAATCTGCCGTGGTGGAGACATATGATTGAGATTTTAAAATACTTTTTAAAATTATAACTTGGTTCTCAAAAATTATCCGCAAAAACCTCCTTAAACATATTTTAAATAATCCAACATAACTAAGAATAACATAAAATTATATAACCTATCTTTGTATTGTAATAAATTCAATCTGTTCAACTAGGCTCAAAGGGTGTTAAACCCTTGACAATAAATGGGCATATATACTTGTAAATTTTATTTTGTGTAATATTTGGTTTTATTATATTGAAGCTGATTGGGTTGATCCATTTTTTTTATCGTGGTGGAATTTGCTGGTTTTCTTTGCTCTTTTAGATATAACTCATATAGGTAAATGCCTAAATGGCATCTCTAATTAAAAAAAAACTATTATATAATAATATTATAATATTAATATTTTAACAAAATTTGTAGAGAGTTTGTTGAACCCTTGTTTGTACAGGTTTAACATTCATCCTGAGCATTTTCTTTTTTGACTTATTTTAGAGTTTAAGATTGGGATTTGATTATGATAACTCTTAATAAAAAATCGTACCTTCTTTCAATTAATAATATACTATATATTATTATTATCATAATTTTTTTTGAAAATGATTAAAATCAAGCATATCTTTGGTTTTTCATTAAGAGTAGAAGCATTAATTAAAACAAATATTAAAAATGGTTAAAAAATCTAAGTAGATGCAATGAAAGTTAATTTATAACATATATTATTTTGTATAAAATATATTCTTTGTCATAAATTCTAGAAGAATTATTTTGCAACCTTAAATCGTTTGTTACAAATAAAATAATCTATATTATAATTTTCCGATGTCCTCACTACGTCATCGTGACGTCATGTCATCGCTACGTCATGTCATCGCTACGTCATGTCATCGCTACGTCATGTCATCGTTACGTCATGTCATCGGTACGTATTTATTTATTTATTTTTTATTTGTTGATTTTTTTATAAACAGATGTTCATACCAAATTTGAATCGGAATCAGAAGAAGTAATTTATTTGTTGATTTTTTATGATCATATCTATTTTTAGAGACTATCATTTTCCTTGACTGAAATCGAAGTGCCAGATACCAATTTTTAGAGATTATCATTTTATTTGATTTCCTGAAATCAGAAGAAGTAATTTATTTGTTCATTTTTTATGATCATATCTATTTTTAGAGACTATCATTTTCCTTGAATTCCTGAAATCGGAGTGCCAGTTATTTAAAAAAATTCTCTAAATAAGGGCACTCTTAAACAGACTTAATCAAAGTTTCCTTTTGAAGAAGTAAGATTATTAAATTAAGCTAAATCCTTTTTTAAAAAAAGAAAAGATATATACTCAAATAAGAATATTAAATTAAGTTAATTATACTAATTATTTTATCAACTAGGCTATACCAAATTTGAATTCCTTAAATCAGAAGAAGTAATTTATTTGTTGATTTTTTATGATCATATCTATTTTTAGAGACTATCATTTTCCTTGACTGAAATCGGAGTGCCAGATACCAATTTTTAGAGATTATCATTTTATTTGAATTCCTAAAATCAGAAGAAGTAATTTATTTGTTAATTTTTTATGATCATATCTATTTTTAGAGACTATCATTTTCCTTGAATTCCTGAAATCGGAGTGCCAGTTATTTAAAAAAATTCTCTAAATAAGGGCACTCTTAAACAGACTTAATCAAAGTTTCCTTTTGAAGAAGTAAGATTATTAAATTAAGCTAAATTCTTTTTTTTAAAAAGAAAAGATATATACTCAAATAAGAATATTAAATTAAGTTGATTACACTAATTATTTTATCTACTAGGCTTGAGAATTTTTTTTATAAATTATAAGGTCTTGAACGCGGGGAAATTTTTTCCAAATATTATGAGCTTGGACCTGGCTTGAAATTTTTTAATGTTAAATGTTAGTCTTATGTAACCAGTAATATATTTACAAAGAATTTTGGTATTGGGTACAAGCTCATTTAAATATATTTTGACTCAAATAATAGTTTCCACTCTTAGTCCTAATGGGTTGGACTCAATGACATTGCTTGGACTTGACCTAAATGCGGAGGGGGGGGGGTTTAAAAATTATATAAATTGGATATGATTTTTAAATAAAAGGTAACATCTTTCTTAAAAAAACGAATAAAATTCTCATTCTCCGTCATTTTTGACGGGCTATCTACTAGTATGTGTTAAATATACAAAACTTCCTCTTCACAAAAAAAGAGGCCAAATATTTTTCTAATATTCCCATTAATGAAAAACATAGTGAACTTTAAATTATAGCAAGCTTCATTTTTGCTATACTAGCTTATAATTTTAACGCTGAAGGAATTTTTTAATCAACAATGGACAAATGAGAGGAATAGACTATTCTTGGAATATAATAACAATTATATGCACAAAATACAATTTTAAATATATTTATGCCAAGATTTCCATAAACTTGTAAGAAAAAGCCAAATTTATTATGAAAATTATCCGCAAATAAAAAATATGGAATAAAAAAAATCAGATTTAACTATATGAATTCAATTCGATATTTATTATTGTTATTTATATGTACAAATAAATGACTAAATTCAATTAAATTTTTTAATATCAAGCCTTATGTAAAAAATATATAAATATGTTATTTTTTCCACTAATTACTCCCTAGGCATGAGGTCAGGTCATATCTTTAACCCTGTATTGCATGTACTATGTTAGAATAATTTTTTTTTGTCAAATTAGATTTTTTATTTCTCTAGATACTATTGATAATCTCATGGCTCACTTTTTTAAAAAAAATTCTAAATTTCTTAGAAGATGAACGGTATGTGGATTTAAATACACATTATGCAATTAAGGATATAAATTTCAATTATTTCCACAATAATTTTTATTGTACTTTAAACTATAAATATATAAAATTTTATTTAAATACAACAAATATTAAAGGTTTAAACATTTTAATTTTCATGAAAATCTATAAAACAATTATTTGTGGGCGTAAAACATAAATATACACCACATTTTTTGCAAGATACTTTTGTTATAAATAAGCATCCTGGCATTTTACATCTACCCTTCTTATCATTATATTTTGGCCAATGAGCCGTGAGGTCTTTCCTAACCTCTTCAAGTGGTAAATATTGAGCTGGTCCTTTTTTACATTTTTCCCGATAACCAGTTTGAACTGATTTTCGTTTTGGTATATTGTTTGAAGTGCATTTGCCATATTTGCAAAGGACTTCCGCCACTAAAATTTTGAAATTGTACAAACTTAATCGATCCTCGCGTGCTTTTGATATACTATTACAATCACGTTTATATAGCAACCATGAATTTATAAGTAACATGTCAAACATATGAAATAAAATTCTATGGTACCATTTTCTTGATTTCGTATGAATTCTATATAAGGAAAGTAAAGAATCCATGAGATCTACACCTCCCATTGATTTATTATATATTTTAACAATATTTGGACATTTTATCATTATTTTTTCCTTTTTTTTCCTATCATATCTTTCACAGTCTATTAGAGGATGTGCACCTACAAAAGTGCTTAATAAAGTCACAGCACGATTGTCGTGCCACTTCACTGAATTTAGCTTCACTCCGTTTATTATTGGTTTTTTTTGAAACAAAAAATCCTCGCTTTTTTTAAACTCCTTATCTGTTGGGAAGTTTATATTTGGAAGTCGATAACCTCTGACCGTGCCGCGCAAAATATCCCTCTTTGAGCGAGTACGACTAGCAAATTTGGGGAACAAAACCAGTTATCAAAAAATAATTTATAATTAATTTGCTGCGGTATATAAGAAATTAAACGGAGCACAGCATTGCCACTTGCTCCAACATCAGGCAATCCTTCCGCTGCTAGTATTTTCCCAGAATATATTTCAAAATTATGCAGAAGGCCATCATCTCCGCATAGTAGAAATACTTTATAGCCCCATTTTTTGGGCTTTTGAGGGTTATATTGTTTCAACCTGCTTATCCCTTTGTATGGAATAATTTGCTCATCTACACAAATGTTTTCGTTTATCGATAAAGATTTTAGTATGTTATTGGTTAGAGTTATTAGGGGTCTAATTTTATGTAGTGGGTCATGGCCTTCACTTTCAAGTGGAATTCCAAACTATTTTTCTCCTAGTGTTTTCTTTTTCATTATTGATATTTTCTTTTTCTTCCGAATCATCTGTCTCATTGAAATGTATATATTTATAGATTATATAAGAGCAAATTTTAAATATACCTAAATCATTATTTTGTGTTGATATAAACTCCTCATCCGACGTTTCACTTAAATTTGAATCTTCACTATCATTAGGTATGTCACCACAATTCATAATTCTAAAAATATAAAACTCAAATAAAATACCTTATTTGCATAATGTGTCTTTAAAACCACTTATGATTATTACAAAATATAATTATCAAAAATAATAAATATATATAAAATAATTTCATAAACATTTATTTTTACCTTTTATTCATCTAATTTTAATGTTTTGAAATTTGTCAAATATATTATTTTTCCTTTTCCGATGGGTAGAAAATTGAGAAGAAAAATTTTATAAAAAAATAGCCATTTTTAAAAATAGGGTTTATTAAAATGCAAAATTAAAAATAAATAATAGATCACGTGGCCCAAATTAAAATTCCAATCGAAGATATAGAATATGGCTTCAAATACACACCATGCAATTGATTTAAAATTTATTTATAAGATATTTATTATACAATTTGTAGTATGTGGAATGAGATACACAGTATGCAATACAGGGTAAAAAAAACATTATAAAAATTATTAGCACTCTCTAGTTAATAATTTTAGACAAGACATAGGATCAGATATATGCAGATAACTTATCAAATTCTTAATCACGGATATAGAGTTAAAAATTATTTTTAGTATTTAAAAAAAAATTGAGATTATTTATATAAATAATATGTTATTTTTAAATAGTATAGTCAATCTTATATTTTAATTATTAATTATAAACTATGAAGTACTTAAAAAATTAAAACTTTATATTTATTAATTTTTTTAAAATATTTTCTCTTTTCTAAATTTATCATATCTTCAGCGATGTTTAGCAAATTCCATTAATAGTCGTTTAGCCTTTTCATAAATTTTATAGATGCCTTTTTCCATTATTTTGTATAATTAACGATTTCAAAGTAAATATTGATAAAGTTATTAGTACTTATGGCACGTGAATTGTTTTCAAACTCTGGCACTGGTATTACACTAAATGAAAGGTATATATTTTTTAACGAACAATTAATATATATGTTTCAGATTTTCTACGATTAAACCCAAAAATCAAACTTTTTTTTCTTCAAGAGGAAGATCAATACTAACTCCACTTATGACTTCCCCTTCAAATAATCAAATCTCACAAAATTCTTTAAATACCAATATGTATCAATTGCCTGTTCAAAATAGCATAAGAGTATAATATATAATTTAATAATATATATTGTTAAAATACAGGGTAGTATTTCAACACGACTTGGGCGTATTAGTGTCAAAAATAGGTTATCCATTAAGCCTAATCTATCTCAAACATCAACCCAATACCTTGCTATACAACAATTAAAAACTAGAGCCAAACAGTTACCAAATACAAAGAGAATTTTAAATAAAAATGTTCTAAGATTTAAAAGTTAGTAAATAATTTAATATGTTATGAGTAAATTTATATTAGATTTTAACACAAGCTTAGTTAGGAGAAGATCAAATATTAACCAAGCGATAAACATGAACTTTTTTAGAGGTAAAGGGAACAGAGTTATGAATCGTGGAAAATTTATGAAAAATAATATAAGCCAAAATATTAGAAATAATCGTAATATCAGAAATAACAGCCGCAATATCAGAAATAATCCAGTTAAAAAAGAACAATTCAAAAGTGGATTAGACATGGAATTAGATACCTATATGTCTGCATCAAGGTTTAAACTTGATAATGATTTAGATTCTTACATGTCTCAACCAAATGATAATATTATAAAAACACACATGTAGAATTATGTTAATCATTTTTTTTTACTAAACATTGAATGATTTCTTTTTTGTTTAAAATAATATTTTTATATGTGCATCAATAAGTTTATAAAGAAATTAATTAAATACTATCAATAAATATATCTGTTCAGAATAAAAGTAGATTGTGCCTTTTTATTTCATGATATTAGTATAGAAATTAATTATAATAAAATGAAACTATTTTATATGATATGCTTTAAATTAAATAGAAACAATCCTAAGATAATGTAATTGGCTTCTATTTTTTAGTAAGTGTGATAAATTGGGCCATTTCTTATTTAGGATTTGGAAATATTTTTTTTTAGTGCTAAAATTTCTTATTATAAATCATCTAAAATGTCCATTAAACAAAAATTCTTATGGTTTCTAGTTAAATCTTGATGTGATCATAATTTGATATAATTTATTTTTCTAAAAATTTATAATAAATTTGTTATTAGCTGCAGATATCTTTTAATCTAACCTCATATTAGAGACCTGAAAGTAAACTTTTACCTAGCTTGGACTGGCTCAAAATAAACATGTGAAATATTTTTAAGGCAAGTCCAAAAATTTTAATTAAAAAATATATTCATATTTTTATGCAGTAAATTTTTTTGTCCTCATAGATAAATTGTTTTATTTTAATGAAAATTATTTTTCAAGCTCAATCCAATTTTATATACAAAAATATCCTAGCTCAGCTTTGCTCTACCACATATATATATCAAAAATATGTTTATAATTAAAATTTAACATTAAATTATATCAGGTCTTAACTCATGACATTTAGTTCAAGAAAATTTGTAGAAATTTTTTTAATATAATGAGAATTCCATATTTGAGATTTAAAATTTATTTCATAATTGTTTTTATATTGATTTACTATAAAAATCAGAGATCTACAAATTTGGCCTGTTAAGATTTTTTGCACAAGTGGTGTGGGACCCAACCTTTTATTTATTATAGTTCAATATATAAAAATTTATAATGGTTATAGTTCTGAAGAAAATATTTGTAAACGTTTGATTCAACTAATTATTTAAGTTCATTGCAGTTCTAAAATTATTTTATTTAAGCAACACCATTGTATATGATTTTAATTATGAATATTACAATTTTTGCTATCAGTTAATATAATGTTAATTTATCTAATAGATATAATTGAATCATATAAAAAAAATACAATAAAAAAAGAATCACAATTCATTTCTAAATGTATTATTTGAATTGATAAGCAATAAATTCTTCTATTATAACTGGATTCATATTTTTTTGTTGTGATAACACAAATTTTAATTCCAAAAAAGTCCTTTTAACAGAAACTTTTGTTTTGGGGACTTTTGTTGGTAAAGGACTCAATTTCAGTCGATTTTTTAATAAGAAAAATATTATGATTCTAATCATAGATGGTACAAAAGTTTTTACATCTATTAGTGAAATCTTGAAGCTTAGGCAAGATTTTTCTGGCACCACAAATGATTTTGGGTATTAAAATTCCCAATATATAAAAACCGATGATTTTTTATTGGTCCTTGTACATTCAAATGAATCAATAATATTTCGATGTTATGTTCATTTTTTATATTAGTAGAAGGTCTTTTAGATTTGGGCTCATGGGGTATTAAAAAAAGCCCGTCCATCTCTAAGCAATTATTTTCCACAGCCTCTACATCTTAAACAGGGACACTGTTGATATGACCGATTAATACTAACCTTTAAATTATTATTTTTTATGTTTATATAAATTGATTTTTTTTATAAATTCTGTAGATTGATTTTTTTATATATATTATGATATTAATATGAAAATTGTTATAGTTTTATAATAGATGTAAAATTTTAAAATAAATTAAATGAAATTTGATTTATTCTGAATTAAATAAAATAAACTTGTAACATTCATATATTTTTAGAAAACTTCATGGTGGCAGTTTCGCTACATATTCGAGGAAATCGTAAATAAATATTAAACAGATTCCCAATAATAATGTTAATATAAATATTGAATTTCCAATATACTCAGGCAGTGGCAATCTTTTTTTGAGTAGATTTGAAGACATCTTCAAGGACACTCAGATCTCGGACATCGAAAAAGCAGGTTCCTTTACAAGAACACTACCAGATGAGGTATATATCAAATTAGACGAACTAAATAAAATTGGTCTATAATGACTTACAAAATATTCTAAATCCACAGACAATATGATTTTAGCTACTGGAACATTGACAACTAGATAAAAAAGTTCTGGAATGTTATATTTATATCATTCTAAAAACACGTAAGAAATGATTAATTTGAAAAAGTGAAGAATAATTAAATTTTTTTAATGATAAATCTCTAAATTATGAATAAACCTATATGGGACAATAATAATAAAACAAAGTCCATTGACAAATTAGAAGATTATTTAAAATTTTATGATAGTAAGAATACTCAAAGCTTAATAGGTAATTTACCAGATGAATTATATTTAGTCATGAAAGCTGTGTTTCCAAGAGAGTTAAATTCAAGTTATGATGAAGCATTGTGTACATTAATGTTTATGTCCTACAGAAATAAAAGAAAATCGTTCTAATAAAAATAAATCTCTTAGTAACAAAAAATTGAAAAATATTGAATTAAAACCAAATATTCAAAATGAAAGAGATTCGTATAAACTAAAAGAGATAAATTGTATAATAAAATTTGAAATATTCGTGATTATAAAGCATTAAAGAAAAAATGAAACAAAGATTAAAGAAAATAATAAAATTAAAAAAACTCTTACTAAATACGATAAAAAAAATTGAGACTTATAAATTAAGACAATTAAAAGTATCACTAAGAGAAGTCATATAAAAACTAAACATCTTCATTCTAGAATAATACTCAAGGATGTGATGAAGAGATCTTTTTCTAAAAAATTAAGGCTCAAAAAATTATTTTTTACCAAAAACAATCTTATGAATAATTATTATTTCAAAATACTTTTTAAATTAAAAAATAAGGGCATAAAGTTTAAATTTCTGAAGAGAGAGATGGATGTACAGACGTACATATCATCTTTTATTAAAAAAATATGTATAAAAAAAACGCTAAAAATATTATCTAACAATCTTGTTGATTTATCATCCATTTATTATTCTAACATCCAAATTTGATCGATTCTCTAACTATTCATACATTCCGAAATCCTATTTAATAATGATAATTTTAGAATTGGTGATAATAACAATTTTGTAAATTTGACAATGATAACGACGGAGCTTGACGACGAGCCAGCGTACTCAGAACGATATTAACAAACCAACGTGATAGAATCAAGTCAACGACTACAATGACTTATGAACGACTTGAACAATCATATGAACAACCAAAATAAATATCATTTTCCAAGACGAAACTATGACAGACTGCACAATAAGATTCACATGCAAGAAAAACCTGAATGGAGATCGTTTTTTTAAAGGGTGGAATGTTGATATGACCGATTAATACTTACCTTTAAATTATTATTTTTTTTATGATTATATAAATTGATTTTTTTTTTATAAATTTGTGTAGATTGATTTTTTTATATAAATTATTATATTAAAATTAAATTTGTAACTTTGATGTATTCTAAATTAAATAAAATAAACTACATTCCTATATTTTTAGAAAACTTTAGACCCGAACCGTTATTTATAACGATTAAGTTTGGTTACGGTTCAGTATATAAAAAATTATATTAGTTAGTATTGAAAAAAAATAAAAAAAATATGCCCTTTGCTCTCAACCCTTCCTTCACAAAAATATAACTTATCAATCCAAAATAATCCCTTTAATAATATTAAATAAATATAATAAACATTACTACAATTCCACTTTATTCATGTATATATATAACATATAAACATATTAAATCTTCCCCAATCAATCCCGTCTTCATCCAATATCTTCACTCCAAATAGCAAACAAAGAAACTTTTTAAAAACAACCCATGTGATGATTTCGTTTTCCCTCCATCTACCAGGAAAAACTAATTTCCCTGTCAGAAAATAACTGGCATTTGATGTATTATATTAAATTTATTTCTTCTTTTTTTCAACAGCTACAACACGCCCACCCTTCACAAGCCGAGCGTCCCTCTCACTGTGGTGGTTTTGTATCGAATCGTCCCTTTGAATTGTATCGGGACGCCTTGAAGACATTCAGGGATATCGAATCGTCTCCTCTTATAATGATTTATAATATAATATCTCCGATACATTTCAATATATAATCGCGGAAACATATATTATCAATAATGACATGTACATTGGGGTATCTGCATTTATAATCCATGGAACATTAATATGAACAATGTAATATCAGCATAATAATTCATTCATTTTAAGACATTTGGGAAATAGGATCTATAATATACATTATTTGGGTATGGTTAATGGTAATTAGGAAATAATGATTTTACATATAATACTGTAATGTGAACACATGGTCTATGTGTGAAATGCAATTTCAACACATGTAATTGTCCTTCTGTTATGTAAACAAAATCAAAGCTACATTTTTATAAATATCTCCAAAAATAGATATAAAAATCCATTTTTAGGTATTAAAAATAATTGTGAAAATTTGCCGAACAAAGATTTTAAATAAAATTACAAGACATATGTATAGAAATAAATTTAATATTTTATAGGGAGGAAAAATATATAATAATACAATATTTTCCATCTAGGAATTACTCAGTATCCTAAGAAAAATATACCATTTATACCTTACTCTGCCATCACTATAAGCACAAATTCACAAAAATATAGAATGCAAAGTAACAAAAATTGAGAATATAATGGGCTATATGGTATATATGTAAAGAATTTTTAATATACCTTCACAATATAAAATAATTTGAGTATTTTATTTAAAAAAAATGTTCATAAAATAAATAGTAAAATGTGATGTGCTATAAAATTATTACAAAGATAAAAAAAATGTAATATGCAGCATAAATTTACAAAAAAAAATTTGCACAAAAAAAACTTTCTCCAGTATGCAAACTAAACAATATTCCCACCTCAAAGCATACCCATCAACATGGGCTGACCTTATCTGTAAAAATATTTTCCCTTCACATCATTGCATACCATAAAAATAATATAATAATTGCAAATAAAACCTTTTATAAAATTTTATAATTAAAAAAAAATATATATATTAAATATAGAGATTTCATAATTTATAAAAAAAATATATAACACATCATCTAATATATCATATAAATCCCTACCCAATTTATATATATATCAAATGCAGACAATAAATCAAAATAACTCCACATCTAACATTATAGATATTATTCTGACTTCATCATACTTTAATTCCTTTAAATTATCATTCATAATTAAATATATCATATGTGTAATTCACATTACACCCTATTTCATAAAAATGGTTAATTACTTCAAAATAAACAACATTAACTCACCCTTAATAGATTCCTTAATAACATATCAACCTTAATTGAAACTGAATTACATATACAATATATTAACATTAATTAATAATAAATTATCCCACACATGTTCATCCTTTTAAAAACCTAAAATGCATAATTATATAACACATACTTTATTACAAAAGTTCATTTCTATATATATTTTCATAAATTTCAAATATTTAAATATTTAGCAATCCTTTCTGTCCTGCTGATCTAGAGGTCTTATCTTCCTATGACGGAATACCTATAACACCATTCAATGAGTCTTAAGGCGTACCAAATAATAAGACCATACCTACTGTCAAAATTGGATCAATATAGATCTAGACATATAACATACCAAATATTACTGTCTTAAATTCCTGATCTTATTTTCATATTTCTGCCTAATACTCATAAAATAATTTCTATCTTAAGCTTTGTAAGCTAAATATTTAAAACAAAATTATAGAAACCCTTACCCCTATAGTTTTTAGTACTTGCGTTGTGGTTTTACAGTAAAATTCAAAATTATATGAAAAAAATGGTTCTTACCTTTTCATAACGAATAACTCTTGAATCTCCAGGCTCTTATCCTGGGAATGCGGTCAACATTTATTGAAAAAATAAAAAAATATGCCCTTTACTCTCAACCCTTCCCTCATAAAAATATAACTTATCAATCCAAAATAATCCCTTTATAATTTTAAATAAATAATATAAACATTACTACAATTCCACTTTATTCATGTATATATATAACATATAAACATATTAAATCTTCCCCAATCAATACCGTCTTCATCCAATATCTTCACTCCAAATAGCAAACAAAGAAACTTTTTAAAAACAACCCATGTGATGATTTCGTTTTCCCTCCATCCACCAGGAAAAACTAATTTCCCTGTCAGAAAATAACTGGCATTTGATGTATTATATTAAATTTATTTCTTCTTTTTTTTTAACAGCTACAACAGTTAGTTTTGGTTATGGTTCTGTTCGGTTCAGTTAATTATAAAGGTTCATTAAAAAAATTTTTTATCGAAGCAACACCATCGTCTAATTTATTTTTATTATAAGCATCTATGAATTATATATAAAAAAAATATATAAGATTCAAAATAACTCATTTTTAAATATATTATAAGTAATATATTTTCTAATATAAATGGATTCATATTTATTTGTTGTGACGATAACACAAATTTTAGCCTTGAAAAGGCCCTTTCTACAGAAACTTGTGTTGCGTGGAGCAACTTTATATAATCCTGGATATTCAAATTTTTTTGATCCCTAAAATATAAAACCTGAACTGGTTTAACCTTTTTTATAGAGGTTATTTTTACTTGTTCAAAAAATAATTAAATCGGTTCGGTTACGGTTCTGATATTTAAAACGGTTTATAATGGTTTAACGGTTCGTTACGGTTCACTCCGGGTCCCTGATTTTAAATGAAAAATTAGTTTAATTCAAACCGGTTTGACATCATTTATATAATGGTTCTTTTTGCTCCTTCAAAAAATAATTATATCTGTTAAAGTTACAATTCAAATATTTTTCGAGATTCACTCCAGGTCCTTGGCTAGGCACAGCCCGATATTTATGAGATATTTGTTAATAATTTTCCAGCTGGCCCATTAAAGTTTTACTAAAGGGAAGTTCGGACCGTTTATGAATTTTGCGATCCGCCCATTTCTAATTTTTCCCAATGTCAATTGAGGCTCTTTATCTCTACTCTATGTCTATCTACTTCTATAACAACCATATTATAGATTATATATGTTTTGATATCTACATTGTGTATTTGAAATTGGATTATATTACAAATAATTTGCTTAATTTTTTGTGAATTTACCAGGGTTTGCAAGTCAATCAAATTCATTCAATTAACCGGTCAAATACTCTAAAAAAATCTGAAGAAAAATTAAAAATATGTTTGAAAAAACGATATTAATACATAATGCTGCTGATTTATTGGGTTCCCAATATAAGGGGGCATCATACTACTATAAATTTATTGAAGTAGGTGATATAATACAATAATTAGACATATAACAATATGGTATTGATCAAAATAATACAAGATAAATTTCAGAAATAAAAGCGGTTTAAATTATGTAGAAAGCAGTGATTTCCATAAAAACAATCATATTTCGGCATCAATTTAGTGGAATGGGACGAAGCCTATTAATAGAGAGACATTAGTTCTATTTCTTCAGAAAGAAATCGGTCTATTTTTTAATATTACTAAATTAGAAATTGATTTAAGATCGCGACAATAGGAAAATTGATTTTAAAATATTAAAGAAATATGATATTGAATATGAATCTGAACAAGACTCTACCACGGAGAGTGAAACATTAGTTATTAAATGACAATGAATTAAAAAAATATTGTAAAAATAATTTTATAGATTCATTTTATTATTGCATTCAAAATATAGTTTATATTGTCTTAAAAATCATTTAAATTTGACCATATTTGACCGGTCAATTGCCCCAATCTAATTTGACCGGTTAAATAAACAACCCTGGAATTTACTATTTTATTTCTGTATTTAGTATTCTAGTTAGACATTTTTTATAAATATATAAGCATACTTTAATATATTTTCTAATAGCATTTATCAAAATTTTAGCTTGAAATTCAATATATATATTCAAGTTTTAATGGGTTGGCCTTGGCCTATTTGCGAAGCCCTGGGTCGATATTTAGGTAATTAAGTGTCGGCCCATTAAATTTTTTTCCCAACCGTGCCCGGTGCCATTTTTTTTTGAGTTTGTGCCCAGGTCAGATTAACCTGACCCCCTTCGATTTTTTTTTTCAAATATAATAGGCAAAAGAAATTAATGTAAAGAAATAGCCAAACGGCCTTTGAGTCATAATAATTTGTCGGATTATTTTTTTTAAAATATAATATATTACTTTAAAAAAAACAAACCGGATCCCAATTTTAGATGGCATTTAATCAATAAATAAGCATATAATTTTTTCAGTTTTTAGGCCGCCTGGAACATTTTATTTTTAAACTGTCGTCTGGTATAGCCATCGATATAGCTTCCTCTAGACAGCTCAAAAAGAGAGAGGCTTTTTAGATTTAAGGCATATTTTATTATTTATTATACCGAAAAAAAATGTGTAAATAAATAATTTTTATTTCATATACACTTTCTTTTCTTCTTCCTTCTTTCTTTTCTTTCTATCTCTAAATTTATAAGTTTTTTTTTTAGTAATAGCAATTATAACATTTAAATATTGTTATATATTAAAAATCATTAATAATCTCATATTGATTTTGTTTGCTATAAGATAATATATTCTTAATTTATGCATTTTCTATGATGTTTAATATTAATAATTATTAATGCAATATATCATATATAATTAAAGCATAGTATTTGTATTAAAAGTAATCGATCTTATTTCATTAATAAATTGATTTATTATTTAGAATCAACCAATCCCATTCATTGATCAATTTAAATTTAAAATTAAATAACAACTCATTTAAGTATAATTAATTGCTTCAAGCCTTCGAAATTATTTTTAGGTGAATAAAACTACCTATACATATTTGCTAGAATACCACATATTTTCCCGAAAGCTCGTTAACGGGTGGTCTGAGGGCAAGGCCTTTCAGACTTTAAGAGGTATGGATCTCCTTCATCTTACTAAAAATTCCTAGCAACGCCATTGCATGTCTTTGACTGTCAGTTGAATGACGAATAGTTAATTTTAGAAAGAAAAAAATTTCAGATTCTATTGAACAATAAGAAATCTAGTTTCATCAGATGGTTGATTTCTCAGACACCATTAGAATTCTATTTTGATTTACAAAAAGAAATTGAAACTAGCCGAGAATTTTTTTTAATGCGCATGGTAGGAGTCGATATCTTTGAAATGTGTTATATTTTTTTAAAATATCAATGTCAACTAATTATTAATTATAAAAATTTTAATTTTGCATTAAGATATAGCTAATTATCTATTAGGTTTTAATACTTCTTTTTTTGTATTTTAAAATTTTATGCATTATATAAGATATTTACCCCTTTTCAGATATAAATAAACCCCTTAAGTCTAACGCTGAAAAAAATTTATCGGATTGAAAAAACTTGTATTTTGCCACGGTCCCGTAGGCATTTTACCAACTTACCTCCAAAACCAGTCCGCCCCTGCATGCATTTATATGGACGCATATACAGTGTTGTGATGATTTAATGTAACATATTAACGATTTAATTTAAACACATGCATATATAATTATGATCTTTACAAATGCACAACAAAAGAAATAATTTAATTATATATGCTTGTATTTAAATTAAATCCTTATTATGTTACATTAAATCATCACAACACTGTATTTCAATTTTAAATAAAATCATTAGTTTTTTTTATTAAAAATATAACCGGAATAATGATTTATAGTTAATAAATAGGTAACTAAACATAGGCCTAGTTCAAATTAAGTTAAAATATATTCTGGTTTCATTAACATACACATAAAACATTATGTTAAAGCTTAAAATTTACATTAAAATTCAAATATAATGCTAAATATTATTTTCCAAATTAATGGTCATTTAGTTTAGTTTGATTTAACAACTAGAATTAAGGTATCTTAATATCTTGGACAGATCTAAAAGTTCGAATGATCGTATAAATTTGATTAATTTCACATTTTTAATATGTCTCAACTCTGCCTCATCTGATTGTTTATAATACAATTTCAGCGTGAAATGACTGAAATCGATATGATTATTAGATTCGTTAAGTTTATCGTCTAACCATAATTCGAAAACAAAAGCACTACCAAAACCGGGTTTTAAAGAGAATGGGATATTAAGATACGTCAGTAAGGCAAACAAAGTAAAATCATGCGCCATATATACATTAATTATTTTGATATCAAGTTTTGGATTATTTGATACATCACGAAATTTGCAAATTTTTAAGTTTTTTGGATCATTATTGGTACATATTTTTATATTTTTAATTTGTTTTTGTTTGCTAAATCTTGAATTCTTAAATTTATGAACGGATGCTAATATTTTTATTTTGCGTTTCATATCGCTTATCAAATGATTTACCATAACTCCAATAACGTGTTTTTGAAGTTCCCGATTAAATTTAATGGTGTTCACTGCAGCTAAATCTGCGAAATGAGTTATTTTTTTGAAAATATCGACATACATTGAGCGTTTTACCCAATCAGGAAGATATTCGGGATTTTCGGCAAAATCACAAGCAATTGCATCTTCTAATCTTGCTGCATTAATTACCAACTCATCTAATTTATAACCGGAATTCTTTGATAATATTTCCATTAATCTTGGATTCTTAAAATAATATTTTAAAAGTGTTGAATTTTTATTGAGTAGATTATTGTAATCGATTTCCCTTGAAAAATTTGGACATGTAAAATAATTAAAAATAGTAAAGGGGAGATCTATAGGAATTGATTTATTGTACGATACATGAGATCTGATAGGAACGATGATCAAATTATTCCGATTATTCTGCATCCTTGAAATTCGATGAGACACGATATCTAAAACTTTTCCTATTTCTTTCTTTGATAAATTACGAAATGGTTTAAGGAAATCACAAGTTTTTTGCATCGGGAAAAATCCTTTAAGGAATGCGTGAGCGCTACTTATTGTTCGGCTTTTATTACTTGAAACCATGTTTACATGTGTCGGATCAAATTTTAAAGCCGTGCCCTTCGCTCTAGAAGATAATTTGCAATATTTTATTTCTTTATATAAACTGCTCCACCAGGAACTTAGATCTTGACCATAACGAATTCGGAAATATTGACCCATTCTATACATTTGATTGAAACCTCTGTCAGTTAATTGTGACAAACCGTTTGGCCACCTTTCTAATCTTAAATCGTATTTTGGGTATAGAAAATGTTCGTTTGGAGCTCTTGCTCCATGTCGAGCGATCAAATATACGCTCACTAAAGAGCCATTTATCCTTGGTTCTAAATAATAAATTTATTTTAAAAAAATATATACATTACATAGTTTTTAAATATACACAAAATATTCTAAATTAATATTATTGAAATATAAAACCTGATCTACTATTCAAATTTAAATCATTAGGTGTAATTAAACCATTAATTGTATTATACAAATAAATTAATGTTAAGCAATTAAAAAATAATAATAAATTTTGCATAATGATAATATACTTCTACTTTTTTTTTATAATTAAAATTTAAAACATTTATTTGTTAATTTTATATTATATCAAATTTGTAATATCGCTTCTCGCAACAACAAGTCTATTTTTTGCAATTTAAATCTTTAATTTTACATGATATTGTCCTTAAATTTTCAGACTAAATCAGAACTATTTTTGAACAAAAAAATAGTTTAAGATTATGCTTATTTTTTTATACAAACTAAATTGGAAATAATTATTAAAATTATAAGAAAAGGCCATTTAAAAAAAATGATATATATTTAAATATTCCTTAATTTTACATGATAATGAATAACGATATCTATCGTCCTAGAAATGATTTAATATTATTTATTTTATACAAACCTAGGGTTACCAGACGTCCTCTTTCGAAATCCAAAAATATGTCATGTATCTATTTTTATTTTACTTTAATTTGTCCTTCTATTTATAAATAGTTTTTTTTTACTTACTATTACAGGAATATTTTTTACAATTACGTGATAATAAGTTTTGTTTATTTTTTAAAGAAAAGGTTAAATATATTAAGAAAAATATATGAGTTAAAAATATGGAATAAATAAATTATCATTTGCGATATTTATAAATTAAATTAATTCTATTTATTTAATGTTATTTATACAGTAGCGTGACCGGGGGTGAGGGGAGGGTCGTAGGGCTCGAGCCCCTAAAAATATTGAATTTTTTTTATACCACCAAAAAAAGGTGATTTTTGATTTTGTTAGCTAAAAAAAAGGTAATTTTAAAAATAATTTAAAAAAAAATTTTTGAGCCCCCTGAGATTGTAAAGGATTGTGCGCCCGTGTATTTATATATAAATGCAATTATTTATTTAAAACTGCTTAAAAATCAAGTTAATTTTTTAATTCATTTTAATGTCTTATTTAAGATACCTAAAAAATAAATGTCCTCTTTTCCAATATACAGAACTGGTAACCATATGCAACCACGGTATCACGTCATTCGGCGCAGCATCAATTCAGCACGGCAAAAATTCAGAGCGTATCTAATACAATTGAAATTTATGTATAAAACAAAGGGGTCATTAAATAGAAGTCATGTTGAGGGTTGGATATCAAAAAATAAAATAAATTTAATAAACAAATATTAAATACTCTCATTTCTTTGGTGGACAATTTACCATGCAAATTATATTTTAGATTAATTTGGAAAATTAATTATTGACTTAAAAATAGATTTTTCTTTAAGACTGGCATTTTTATATCAGGGCTTCGAACCGAACCGCGAAACAGGAACGGACTGTTGTAATTTTCTAAACCGTAACCTAACTTTTATAAAAAAAAATATAAAAAGAGCGAACGGAACTGTTATCAATATTCTTTGAACCAATTTTAACCGGGTCACAACTGTTTTTTAAAATAATTAATTTAAAATTATTAGCCTAAATTTGAAATTTTAATTTTCCTTCGGAGCGATCTAAATTCGTGTTTCTTATCAAATTAAAAATTTTTATACTTAACTATTATTTTCATATCAATAAATACCAAGTTTATTGTTTTTACTTTATATACTAATAGAGATTAGGCAAATTCAAATTACTAGTTAATTAGATAAGAAATAATCTTAATGGTTTAATTAAATAAGGAATTATAAAAATATAAATCAATTTTTCTCTAAGAGTGGTTTATGATTACTTTTTTTTAAAAAAATCAACTTTAACGAACGAACCGAAAAGAACCGTATAAATTCTAAACCGAACCTAAATGATATTCTTTATATAAAATTTTAAACTAAAAACTGAAACGAACCAAACAGCTATACTTAACGGTTCGAGACTGGTTTAAATAATTTGATTATAGATCAACATATCTTATAACATGGCAAATTGGTCCACCAAAGAAATCGGTAATATTAGTTTGTTAATTTTTTTTTTGATATTATTTAATTTTTTATCGATATTACACAATTAGTAAATAAAATTTAGATTTTCATTAAAAAAAAATATGAAGAAATAATTAAAAGGGCCAACATTCAAAATGACTTCTAATCTTTTTGTTTTATACTAATAAATTCATAATAAATTTCAACTTTATTAGATATGCTTGGAATTGACGCTGCGCTGAATCGACGCTGCGCCGGATTATCTTTGCGCCGAATTGGCACTGCTCTGAGTTGACGCTGTGCCAAATTTTCCACACTGAATTGAGGTAGAACGACAAATCACATTAGAAAATATTACTTAAATATATCAAATGGCCATTAAAAAATTGCTATTCATTTAAATATTTATAAAATTGAAGCTATTTATAAAATTGAAGCTATTTTTCCTTGTGAAGTGAAAGTGGTAGTCCCTTTATTAGCTACAATTGATTATTTTTAAATTAACCTATGGTCTATTTGGAGGGATGAAACAATATTAAAATTAGGCATTCTTATAAAAATTATAATCATAGAACATATGTAAGAATTGCTACAACTAGCTAATTGCTAGTCATTTGTTGAATGCATTGAAAAGGTGGCACATTCGATGCAGACATCTGGAACGAAGACCAGGGGCGGACTGGCGACGTTACGGCCTCGTGGGCATTTTTTTATAGCGGGCTCATTTTTATGGGGGCTTCGCCCCCATACCCCCTATTTTCGCTTTTGCCCGGCCTTCGGCCGGGTTCCCTTAAATGGCTTCTTTAAATTATATATTTTTATTACTTGTTATTTTTTATAGGTACAAACAATTTACATTTTAAAAAAGAAAAGAATAATGACACGATAATCATATATTTTATTTTAAAAAATTGCACATCCAAAATCATATTCATTGAACACATAAAAAAATATTCATTGCACATATAAAAAAATATTGCACATATAAAAAAATATTCATTGCACATATATATTTTATATTAGATTTATAAAGATATTGCACTATAAAATCAAATCATACATCACATGTTAAATATAATACATACTCAATATATAAAATCAATTAATTACACATATAAAATTATAACAATTATAGAATATTGCACAGAGAGTAAAATTGTTGCACTTATAAAATTAGAGATCATATTATAATAGATATAAATAAGATTTAAATAAATGAATTAATAATATATAATTTTTATGTTAATAAATCTCTCATTAACTTTGAACCTTTGCGTAAATAATATCTTCTATTTCAATCTGCGATAATAGTTCTCGTTCAACTGACATCATAAAAACCGCTTTTAATTTTTCTTGGCCTATATTAGCTCTCAGCCTATTTTTTATAATTTTCATTTGCTAAATGTTCTCTCGCAATTAACCTGCGTAAACGATAAAGTTAAAATGTATTCATACGCCAAAAATAAATTAGTGTGTGCACTTGTATGCATATTGTACCTCTTAAGAATTTCATACAGGCATATTAAACAATTGTTACATTTATCACACTTCGAGTTATTATCATTATGTAGTATTCCATCTTCTTCATTCGACTCCTCACTTGTACATAAGATATCATCGTCCGTTTCATTTAATTCTGCTATTAAATCTTTGAATACACTAGAAAATGAACACAATTCGTTATGTAATTTATCACTCGATATATTTGCCAATTGCGCCAGTTTTTCCAAGGCCATTTCAGAGATACCTTTACTATTAATGTCATCAAAATGCCTTGGATGCAAATATCGCACATTCAAAATAAGCTCTCTATTCGCAGAAAAGCGTTCCGACAAACTGTTTATAATTTGATCAATTATAGGACGAAATACTTCAACCCTATAAAGGTCAATCGATTCTTGAGGACGTTCATCCTGGCCTTCATCACTATATATTCTCTTTGCTCGTCCTATTCGAATTTTTGGCAGAGCAGTCTGTACACAGATACTCTCCGGAAGCTTTAAATATGAAAGTGTTTCATTTAAATCAGAAGCCATTTTTATTGCTTTATTTTGAATTGATGTAATAGTTATCGATGACACAAAAGACTTAGCATCTTCTATCATTTTCCATGCCGACTAATATCTAAATTTTTGGTTTGAAGATACAATGACAATGGCCCCATTATTTCAAAAATTTCTAAATATATTACAGCTGTACTAAGAGTCTTAAATTTACATAAATTATCTATAAACGACTGAGCTTCTGATGAGGTTTTTGCCTCAAATGATTTATTATCTATTATAAATCGAAGTGCACTTATCGTTATTGGAAGTAAGCTCTCTTTGCCATATATCCATTTAAGGGCTTTTTCACGTGCCCACCACCTTGTCTCACCTATTTTTTGCAGCCTTCTCAGTTTATTTTGGCCAATTAAGTTATTCTGTTTCACCCAAGCGTCCATCCTTTTATATGATTCACTAAAGAAAGTTGCTAGTCTGTTCAATAATCCAAATAAAATTTTGCCTTCAATATTATCGCATGAATGACATATACAGAGATTTAATATGTGACTATAACACCAAATATACAATCTACCTGGAGCCTCTTGTCTAGTAAGAGCTTGCAACCCAACAAATTCCCCCCGCATATTTGCAGCACCATCAAATGATTCTCCAATTATATTTCTCATTTGAATTCCATGTTTTAAAAAGCATTCACTCAAGATATCAAAAATTCCTTTTCCAGAAGAGTTGCAAAAAGCCTTTCTGTTATTTTACCATTTTATATGTATCGTAGGCAAATGGTTGCTTGATCATAAACGCAAATGTCTTGAGTAGTATCCATTTGCAAACTAAACCGTTTGTTACTAATCTCCTTTTTTATTAAATTCCTGATTTGATCAAGAACAGCATCAATAACTTTGTTGACAGTTGTTTTTGACAACAAGGTTATGAGAGAACCTCTTCCCTTCGATTTTGACTTGTTAGACAGTTTAAGCGTATCTTTTCTACGTTTGCTTTTAAAAATAGCCTTCTCTAAATGATCTCTAAGTATTTAATCATTCTTTGATATATTACGGATCATTTCCAGGAAATTGCCATGAT